CCTGCAGTCAGTCTCTGGGCCAGCTGATAACGTTTTTTTTGTTGTTGGAGGAAATGCTTTAGCTCCCAGGGAGAGTGTCCCCCTATGTGGCACTGCCCAGAAGGAAAACAGGCCTGGTTCTCTGGGGGGAGGCCACAGTCCCCTGAAGAAGACTGAATCAGTCCCTGTGTGTCCTTTGATCAACAGCCCCTGTTCTCCTTCTCACCTCCCTATTTTTCTTTCCTGTCTGCCACGTGACTTGGTTCTAGAAACATTTCCTGGAAGAGACACTCCTTGACCACCACATCCATGCTGTGCCCTGCCCTGGGACCTCCTGCCCCTGCCCATACCATATATATATATATATATATATATATATATATATATTTTTTTTTTTTTTTTTTTAACTGTGTATCTCTTCCTCTTTCTCACCCCTAGCTAGGATCTTTGTCTGATTAGAGCAGTGCCTGGCACAGAAGCAGCTCAGAAATGTTTGTCAATGCCTGCCTGAAACCAGCATTTATCTGGTGCACATTCTGCATCTTTGCTGGGAGCTGGAGACAAAAACGTGCTTAAGTTAAGGCTTCCACACTGAAGCAGCTCTCCCAAGAAACCACCCTGCAAGAGAAGAAATGTTCCCTCTGCAGAGAGGCCCAGTTCTGTAATCACGTCCTCAGCCTGATCAATGTCTTCACAAGGACAAGACAGCAGTCCTGCATCCCCCACAGAAACTCTCACTCCCGCATGCAACACACACCACCACGTGCATCTACACACACCTCCTACCAGGACTCCATCTGAGAGACGCAGACCATACACATGGTCCACATGTTTGGCTGGCCTGCACTGTGACAAACGCTGTCAGCAGGGACAAATGCTACCCTGGTCTTCTGCTCTTGTTTTGGTCCTGAGACAGAGGTTTCTCCCTAGGCCCTTTGATCAAAAGCTGAGGGACAAACAGGTGCTCCCTATAAGCTTGCCACTTTACCAACTGTATAACTTTGCACAAGTTAATTAGCTTTCCAGAGTCTTGGTTTGCTCATCTGTACTTGGGCCACTGAGTTGATGTCAGAAGTAACAGAGAGGGAAAGGGTCTAAAACTGGGCCTGAACATGGTTTAATAAATGTAGCTGGTGGTAGCGTTGAGAGTGAAAGTAGAATGACTGTTCAGCATCATTTAGATAGACATGAATTTCCAGAATGTCCTAGTACCATTAGTGTGAACTCACGGTGATTTTAATAGATAGATGGGTCAATTTGAAAAGGATCTGAATGATGTGTGGATGTACATGTGGATGTGCATATGTATGTATAGAAATGTGCTTCTCTGTGTGATACACCACACACACACACACACACACACACACACACACACACACACCCGTTATGTCTGCCCAGAGGGCCTAGAGGCAATGCTACCCCAGGAACAATAAGCACACCTAGTGGCAGATCTTGGTTTCTAAACACCATTTCCCATGAAAAGGAACCAAGGCTCCCATGTTGATTCCACCACTGAGGTGAGGAGAGTAGAAGATGAGGCTAGAATACCTTGCTGTGACAACAAGGCAGCAAGTGCTCAAATTATGATGGAGAAACGTTAGAGACACAGGAGCCAGGCCTTAGCGGACAGATTTGGGGCAATGTAAATATCAAAATAACTGATGATCACAAAAGACTGCAACCTATTGAATAAAATTAAAATCCATGAGTCCACACTGATATAAAGAAAGGAAGGGCTGGGCATGGTGGCTTACACCTGTAATCCCAGAACTTTGGAAGGCCAAGGCAGGCAGATCACTTAAGGTCAAGAGCTGGAGACCAGCCTGGCCAACATGGTGAAACCCCATCTCTACCAAAAGTACAAAAATTAGCTGGGCATGGTGATGCATGCCCATAATCCCAGATACTCAGGAGGCAGAGGCAGGAAAACTGCTTGAACCTGGGAGATAGAGGTTGCAGTGGGCAAAGACCAAGACTGCACCACTGCACTCCAGCCTGGGTGAGAGTGACTCCTTTGTCTCAAAAAATAAATAAATAAATAAATAAATGATGAACGGAGGAAGAAAATTTCTTCTTTAGAGCAGGAAACCAACTAATAAATGAAAAAAAAAAAAACAGTGAAATTAGAAAAATCACCATTTGGCAACTATGATAATAATAAATCTATTCAGGCAAGAATCATCAAAAGATGCTAAAACTAATGACTGATAGACTGAGGACTAATCAGATATCTACACAATCTCAGAACTTCTCGCCATAAGATGCTTATTAATGGCAAAGGTGAAACAGTAACTTTGCAGTGGAGACACCTGGAAGACACCACCTTAACTGAGAGCTCCAAGCTAACATCACCAGTAATGGGAGATAGCCACACTGGTGTCTCTTGATACAATGCACTGAAAAGGACACACCAGCTCTGGGCTAGTCCTGCCAACCTAATCACAAGGAAACATCAGAAAAGCCAAAATTGAGCACATTCTATCAAATAACTGGCCTGAACTTGTCAAAAAGGTTAACGTGCTGAAATACGAGATTAAGAAAGTTTTCCAAGAAAGACACATGCCAACTGGCTTTTCTTTTGCCATAAAGGAATTTATCGGGGGCAACTGGTGAAATCTGAATGAGAAATCAGAAAGTTAGATAATAGTCAAATTAACGTTAAGTTTCTGACTTAGAAAGTTGTATTATAAGATACAAGTTTCTGATTTCAGAAAGAAATGTAGAGAAAAAAGAAAAAATGAACATGATAAAATGCGAACATTTGAAAACCTGGACAAAGGGAGTCCAGAAATTTGTTGGCTGTTCTTATAACTTTTCTATACATTTGCAATCATATAAAAATAAAACAATTGAAAAAAATTACAAATGGAAATGAATGCTCTGGTTTCACAAGATTGAGAAAAAATCAATATATTACTTAGTACATTGTATGTGCCCAATAATTTAAAGCTATAATAATAATTATTAGTAATAATGATAATAATTATTAGTAGAACAGTGCACCTGGCACATAATAAGCTAGAAATGGACAAAAAACATTATCACTGTTAACATCATCACCATCATCATCATTCTTGATATGCTTGATTCTAAGAAATAACTAAAAAATTAATACTATTATTTGTATTACTTATAATTACTTCATATCTGCATTAAACTCCATGGTTTGAAGGTTTGTTATAGAAATGCCTGCTTAAAACGCATACAGCACTCCTCTGTAATGGTGAGGTGCTTGAAGACCAACCAAAACAAAGAGGCAGGGGGACATTTTCAAATCTAGATGTGCAGAATACATATCAATTGGATCTTTTCTCATCAATGGAGTCTCTGCTTTGTTCTTGCTTGTGCTTGGGTAACCCAAAGATAAGAAAGCCCAACTTCTAAATGCCAAACGTGGGGCCTTTGCCCAGACCTGTTGGCCATCTAGAGTCTCTTCTCTCTTCTTTCTTGGGTCCCTTCCATACAAACTGTGCATCTCAATGATCAGCCCTTGTTATTCCCACTTGCACTGGTTTATGCACCAAGCAGAACCTCCTGTTATGCTCCCAATCTTGTCCCATCTGAGACGGTGACCTAGCTCCAAGTCCAAGGCTCTCCCCCACCTGTCTATCATATAGAACTGTCTGTGTTCAGCACAATTCTGAGATGTGGTATATTCCCAAGCATCATTACTTTGTTCAACATGTTCTTTCAAAGTAAACCTATGACCATATCTAGGAACCATATTGTCTTTTGTCTCCATTTTTCCTCATTCTTCTAAGACTCACACATGCCACATTTTCTGCTCATTTTCTTCCTCTCCTTGTTTCTTATCGCTCTTGCCCATATTTTACCCCTTGGGAACGTGGAAGCCATTGCTTCTTCCCCTTTAGAGGAGGCCCCACATGGCCCCTGACCTACCTGGGACCCCAGAAGGGCTCAAGCTCACATCCATATCTACTTGTATAAATACAACGAATAAACCCCAAGGCCCAAGTGGATTTGTTTTACATGGAGTCACAAACAGATACCACAAGATGGCTCCCAAAGAAATGTTAAAAGCTACTCCATTCTTATACTAGAGAGAGAGAGTGAGAGAGAGAGAGAGAGAGGCCCTTGCCAGTAATCATATAGAAAACAGCTATACACACTCACAGACATCAGCCTTCCTTCTTCTTCTGCAATGATTGCAATTATGCCCAAGCTGGGTTAGAGACCAGCAGAGTGAAGTGACACATCCCGGGTGATCTCAATTTTTCCCAAGCTAACTCTGCACTGATAAAAATGTCTTCTATCTGCACTGTCCATGGGTACCCACAAGCAACATGTGGCTACTAAGCACATGAAATGTGATGTGACTGAGCCCTGAATTCTTCATATTATTCCATTTTAATTAAAATTTCCATATCTCCATATGGAGTGGCTCTGTGTGGACAGTTCAGCTGTAGAACAGAGGTTGCAACACCTTTTCTGTTAAGGACCAGGGAACAAATACGTCAGACTTTGCAGCCACACGGTCTCTATGGTAATGACTCAGTCAGGCTGCTGCAGTGTGAAAACAGCCATACATGACACCTGAACAAATGAGCATGGTGGGGCACCAGCGAAGCTTTCTTTACACAGGCAGGCTGGGCCAGGCTTGTCCCGTAGGCCACAGTTTGCTGACACTTGCTCTAGGACACACCAGAGTGTCATGCCAGGCCTTCTTCGGGATGACAGGCACTTGTCATCAAAGGATGATCTGAATTCAGGTTTTTACTTACCAGTGTTCATGAGAGCTCAGAAAACTCTCCATTTAAGAAAAAGAAAGGCTGCTAGATACTAACAATCTGCATCTTTCTCCTGAGGGTCACTGTATTCCCCTTCCCCTGCCATGGGAACTCCTCTTAATGGCACGTTTCTGGACAAGCAGGACATGTTTCAGACACCAAGAAACAGGAGAATATCTTCCACATCCTCCATGTAACATAATCAATGGAAAACAAAACAAAACAGAAAAGGCAGTACATCTCACTTGTGCTGCGGACAGATTAGTCACTTACCTCCACAGGCTGAGTGACCGTCCATCTCTGGTCCCCAAATGGAATTGTCCTGACCCAAGCTCAATGTGTTTGCTCACTGCAGCTCTTGGGGATATTAATTTCCTCTCATTCGCATTTCCAGGTCAGGAAGATGAAATCTGAAAATGGTACCGGCTGGAGGGGAAGAGGAGACAAGTTTAGGTCAGTTTTGGCACTTAGTCCATCCTCTGCCTTTTTAGGATGACTCAAGATAATGAAAAGAGATTCACCCACTTAATCCATTCACTCACCCAATTATTTATATAGCACTATCTGTTAAACAAACACCTATTCTGTTCCAGGCACAGAGCCACACACCAGGACAGGAAGGTGAGTAACTCACAACTCCTCTCCTCAGGGAGTTCAGACCGGGAGAAAAGAGAAAAATACACAAACAACTCAGGAAAATGTAATACAGGGGGCTTGGGCACCTGTAATCTCAGCATTTTGGGAGACCAAGGCGGGCAGATCACTTGAAGTCAGGAGTTCGTGACCAGCCTGGCCAACATGGTGAAACCTCATCTCTACTAAAAATACAAAAATTAGCTGGGCACGGCGGCACACGCCTGTAGTCCCAGCTACTTGGAAGGCTGAGGCAGGAGAATCGCTTGAACCTGGGAGGTAGAGGTTACAGTGAACTGAGATCGCACCACTGCACTCCAGTCAGGGAGACGGAGAGAGACTCCATCAAAAAAAAAAAGGACAAATGACCAACTCCGTCTGGAAGAAGAATTTGAAGAGGAGATGATATTTTTAGCTGCTCCCTGAACGAAGCACTAGTGAGGTGCTGTTTAGTAAAAACACAAAACATGGGGAAAGGAAAAATAAATATGTAAGATATGAATGTGAAAGTGTAACATCGGTTAGGATAAATCAGCCTGAGGCTAGATAGGAAAGGGCTTCTGAAGACTTCATCTGGCTGGGCGCGGTGGCTCATGTCTGTAATCCCAGCACTTTGGGAGGCCAAGGCAGGTGGATCACTTGAGGTCAGGAGTTCGAAACCAGCCTGGCCAACATGGTGAAACCTTGTCTTTACTAAAAATACAAAAATTACCCAAGTGTGGTGGCACATGGCGCGTGCCTATAGTCCCAGAGACTCAGGAGTCTGAGGCAGGAGAATTGCTTGAACCTGAGAGATGAGGTTGCAGTGAGCTGAGATCACACCCCTGTACTCCATCCAGCCTGGGCGACAGTGAAACTCTGTGCCAAAAAAAAAAAAAAAAAAAGAAAGAAAGAAAAAGAAGACTTCATCTGACACTAAGAATAGCATAGAAACCCTCAACTCTTACTGGGCCCCAAGCACCGAGAGATGTGCAGACACTCAGTTTTCTCTTTAGATCCTCTCATGAAATCACTGAGGTGGTCCCAAGGATGATTCCCATTTTATAGATGGGCAGCTGAGGCTTTGAGACCTGACGAGTAAACCTGTTCAGTAGGACAAAAGCAGTACGTGGCAGGGAACAGACCACATAGAAAACATCCCCATCCAGTCTGGTTGTGAAGTCTCCCTCATAACCATTGCTGTAGAAATGGCCCCAATTTGTTCAGGCCACCTGCATGCACACTCTGCAGTGTGGCTTTGCCCCCCCCGCCCCCCAGCATGAGGGGGAATCAAAGTTTGGCCATGAGACTTGCTTTAGCCAATGGCACAATAGCAAAGGTGACACAAATAAAGACTTTAAAAGTGCTTATGTCTAAAAGTTCCTCTCTCTTGCTGCTGGGAATCATTCTTTTTTTGGGGGGGGGGGGGAGCGGGGGAGATGGATCTTACTCAGTTGCCCAGGCTGGAGGGGCCGTGGCATGACAACCACCCACTGCAGCCTTGACCTCCCAGGCTCAAGCGATCCTCCGTCTAAGCCTCCTGAGTAGCTGGAACTACAGTCTCATGCTACCACACCAGGCTAATTATTTTTATTTTTTGTAGGGTCTTGCTGTGTTGCTATGGTTGGTCTCAAGTTCCTGGGCATGAGCCGCCATGCCCAGCTGCTGCTGGAAATCATTCTGCTGTCACATTGGCAAGCCTGAGGTAGCCCCCGGAGGATAACAGACAATGTGTGGAGAGAGGCTGAGGCACCCCAGCTCAGCCTCCAGATGTGTGGATGGGCCAGCACAGGCAATCAGCCTAACACACACTGCGCAGACCAGATCATCAACCCACAGAAATCATAAATGTCTGCTATTTTTAGGCACTGGGGTTTGCGGCTGTTTGTTATACAGAGAAAGCTGACTGATACAACCACTGAGGTATCTTTACACCCCCGGCAACGGCGACACATGAGGATAAACATGTGTGTTAGCAAGAAAATTCAGTGCCTGTCGAGTTGGTGATTATGAAGAGATAATGAGGGCCAGAAGGCAGGGCCCTGGGCAAAAGGAGGAGTGGAAGATTCAAGAGCTCTTTTAGAGGGAGAAACAACAGCATTTAGTGACTGTCTAAGCCCAGAGTTGTCTAAAGGCATTTGCCTGGCTCTGGAAACCAACCATGTGTGGTGTTGACTATAAACAGATTCTATTTGGCACCTGCTGATGGGGGCAGGATGTTACATAGAAGATACATGAATGTGACCAGAGTCAGCACAGTTAGGGGTCAGGGTCTGGGAAAGCTACAGGAACGAAACTCTTTTTTCAGAAATGAGAATTAAGGCACAAAGATCACTGCCACAGCCTCCTAGCCAGTCTTAAAATAGCCATCGCCTCTAATGCCAACTCCCGCTCTTGGCAGCAGCCAGCAGGATCCTTGTAAATTGTAACTCAGGCCTCCCTCCCTTGCATCACTGGTTCACACCTTCCCCATTCCCTCTGCACTTTCTACTCACCCTTCAGATTTCAGTGTAAACACCACTTCCCAGAGACATCTTCGCTGACTCTGGGGACGAGGCTGGAAACAGCCCCTCTATATTTTCAGTGTTCCTTGCATTGCGACAAAGCATTATCACCGACATGTTAACTCCATAAGGGCAAGGGCATGTCTGCCCCACATACCACTGTGTCCTTGCCACCCGGCACGCCACTTGGCATGTGGGAGAAAGTCTATTCCTATTTCTTGAAGGAGAGAGTGACCAAAACAATATAGGTATCACACTTCTAACATGTTTGCTTGGCCACACCCCCTTCTAGTACCCATGGCTTCATTCTTGTGCTTCTTCATTCATTCCTTTTTTTTTTTTTTTTTTTTTTTTTTTTGAGATGCAGTCTCGCTCTGTCACCCAGGCTGGAGTGCAGTGGCACAATCTCAGCTCACTACAAACTCTGCCTCCCGGGTTCATGCCATTCTCCTGCCTCAGCCTCCCAAATAGCTGGGACCACAGGCGCCCGCTACCGTGCCCGGCTAATTTTTTGTATTTTCAGTAGAGAGAGGGTTTCACCATGGTCTCGATCTCCGGACCTTGTGATCCACCTGCCTCAGCCTCCCAAAGTCCTGGGATTACAGGCGTGAGCCACCGCGCCCGGCCTTCATTCTTTCATTTAGCAAGAATTTACTAAGCACCAAGCATCACCTCAATCCCACCATTGGTTGCTCTCACTAGACCGAGCCTTCAGAGGTGGGGAAGGGGAGCTGTATTTTATTTGTCACTAGGTTTCCCCACTCTCACCCCCACTAGCTATCATATGGGTGTAGGAGGCACTAAATAATGACCAGTGAATCCGTGAATAAATGGGTGAACAGGCAGATCAATCTCAGATAATCCATCAGGGTGTGGCTGATTTATAAGTCCGCAGAAGCTCATTACTGAGTCTGGGCCTTCTGTATGTTACATCTTACTAAATAGTCAAGAATCCTTATAATATAAAAATCTGCATGTATATATGCCTATGTCAGGATATACACTGTAACTGTTCTACGCCGTAAGATATAAGGGGGTAATGCATGAATCAGATTAAACATGGAGCCCTGCTCTGAATGAAGTCTCTGACTCCACAGCCTGGCTGGCACCTGTGGCCAACTGTGATCTTCAACTAAAGCCTAAGACTCTACTTGAAGCAATGCATAACATCCTGAACCAAATCTTCCATCGGTCTTAGGTTGGCTTTGAAAAAAATAAGTTGGCAATTGCATTGGATTCCAAATTCCAATGGACAAGTTTGCAACCTGGAGGTTTATCTTAAAAACTAGAATTCGCTGGGCACGGTGGCTCACGCCTGTAATCCCAACACTTTGGGAGGCTGAGGTGGGCAAATCACCTGAGGTTGGGAGTTCGAGACCAACCTGACCAACATGGAGAAACCCCGTTTCTACTAAAAATACAAAATTAGTTGGGCGTGGTGGTGTATGCCTGTAATCCCAGCTACTCAGGAGGCTGAGGCAGGAGAATCACTTGAACCCGAGAGGCAGAGGTTGTGGTGAGCCGAGATCCTGCCATTGCACTTCAGCCTAGGCAACAAGAGTGAAACTCCATTTCAAAAAAAAAAAAAAAAAAGGCAAAAACAAACAAACAAAAAACTAGAACTGCATCCCATGGGGGACTCACCTTCCGCAGCCTCAGTTTTTCAGCTTCTCTAATATAGGACTAGGGTGTTAAATGCAGAGGAAAGGCACTTATTCCACTGTCTTTCTGCCCCAGATCCCAGGAACAGCCTGACAGCTCCTCAGAGTTTGCTTGCCTTTTGGTTTTAACAGGAGCCTTGGAAATCTTTTCTGAAAGCCATGTCCCAGTTCTCTTCTCACTCATGCTCTGCTGTCATGCCTCTTTCTATATTGAGTCCCTATTTCCCCACCCTTCCAAGATTGCTTCCAATTAAGAGCAACAGCTAAACTCTTACCGCTGAAACATCTGTGAAGCATGTTCATACACATGAGCCATACAAGAAAGACAAATCAGAAAGTGTCCCCATTTCTGGAGAGGTTCAGAAAAGCTCATGTGACTCTCCAGGACCACAAAGGAGGAAACCAAGGTCCAGAGAAGTGGCTCCTCCATGACACAGCTTGAGAGCTGTGCAGCTGGACAGTGGGCAGAGGGCCTTAGACCTAGGGTTCAGTGTTCTTCCCAATACCAGGCAAACTACTATCATCCTATTCCAGCCCATTCATCCCTTTCATTTCCATCCATCCAACTGGTAGCCACTAGCACCAATCTAGGAGCTAAGCAGGGAAATGCTGGGCTTAAACCAAGAGACCTGGAAGCAAGAAAAATGTC